GAAAGGTCAACCTACTGCGGGGGATCTGCCTCATCAGTCATGTATCTAAAGATACATGATTGCCGAAGTGTGTATCATGCATGGCACATAACTGACTGACTGATTTAAGCATACATGCAAATACACATAAATACATTTATTTCAGTCTTTTGTTTTTGGATCTGATGAAAACTTAAATGACAAAGTGCATGATCAAAACTAATTTTCAGTCAAGTCTGTTTTCATGAAATGTTTCCATTTGTCACATTTAAAAACTTTGTTGAGATTTCTATATCCTTATTTAAAAACATATATTGTTGACACAGAAAATACATGTATAGACCAAAAAATAAATCTTTTACTTTCAACCCATTCTGAAGAATATACAGAGTGTGATGTGTAAATTGTCACCATTTTATATTTTTAATTTTGTGCATGCACATTGTATTTGATTTTGTTGACTGCATAGTATAATTGGGTCAGTTGGGCACCATCTGTGAGAAAAACAGCACCATGACACAATTCACTTTGCTAGAAATTTGTAAACAGCATGGCATTCTTGCTGGTAGCTCAAATACAAACATTTCAGAGTGTTTGTCAATATAAGGACAGTGCAGAGGATTTGGAAAGAGTTAGATGAGTCTAATGGTGATTATGAAGGTACAGCAGCTCGGAAAACTCTGTTTGATCATTCTGATAAGAAAAGAACTTCTGAATTTGTTGGTGAGGGTCTCAGACTCAACATGGAGGCCTACATCAAGTGCCTTGAAGGTAGTGCTGCCTCTTTGGTCAGGAGGGTGGCTGCTGGAAGACCTTATGTCACACAAGCAGAAGAACCATATATATATATATATATATATATATATATATATATATATATTCCTCTTAAGCACATATGAGGCTGGATAAAAAGAAAAAAAAAAATACATTTCAATTAATCCCCCCCACTGATACATTTATAAGACCCTTGCTTTTCTTCTCTTCCCTCTTTTTCTTCTCCTACCCTTCCTTCTTCACATCCTCCTCCTCCTCCTCATTTTCTATCACACACAACATTGTGCGTTTATTTATTTATTTTTTTAAAAATATTGCATTCATTAGTTTTTATAAAAAATAAAGCATTAGGAGGTCAGTTGATAAAAATTGACTGAGGATGATTTAAGTTTGAAACCATGGTATCAGTTTCAACTGATTTCCTAATTTTAAAGTATGTTTGTTTGTGTGTATGTATGTAATATATATATACACACACAGGGCAAGAATTCATTTAAACAAGTTTTGTTAAATTTAACTGAAAAGGTCTGTCTGTTTTTATTGGATTTTAAGTTTTTAATATTTTAATAACTTTTTGTACATTCAAATCAAGATTGTTGACAAACTTACCAAACTGCATGTTTTTGTTCTGAATCTACTTTGAACATTTTATCCACAATTTTAATTTGGATGTACAAAACTTATTCAAAAACTGAAAAAAAATACAACAAACCTCAAATTAAACAGGCCTTGCCTGTTGAATTTAACAAAATTTGTTTACTCACACAATTAATGGGTTACATTATCTATCTCATTCTATTCACATTTATTTTTCTGTCTCATTCTGTTCATTAGAGTTTCAGAAAACTTTGATCCTTAAAAGTGGTAAGCAATGGCAGTACAAGCCCAACAAATATTCCAAAGATTCCTTATTGGACTTATTTTCTCTCTTTCCATGTCAGGAATCAGGGAAGTGAATGCATGAAAATGTAAAAAGTGGAAGCATGTTCTACTTATTTTTAGATTTTATAAATTGCAATCTTGGGATTTTTATGCATTGAATACAGTTAATGAGATTTACCTCCCTTGTTCTGATATGTGATGGTTCATTATTTTGATTTGATTATGGTCATCATTACTGACTCAGTTAAATGCTGTCTTTGCCAAACTCTGCTGAATAGCATGCCACTTCCTGTTTATATAATTTATCCTATAAGTATTTGCAAACATTATTTACTTATAAGTTTTATTATTGCTTATCATGACTGATATGTTGCTATAATAAATAGAGAATGTAGATAAGTTAAAAGGATACTTTTCTATTTATATTCCTCTTATTAAAAAAGGAAAAAGAAAAGGAAATAACTCTAATCAGATCTTGATAGGCCTGGAATTATCTCTCTTGGACAGATGCTGAGCAGCAACTTTATATATTTACCATATTTTTCGGCTTGGAAGACACCCTAATATTGGAAAGAAATTTCTAAGAAAAAAAAAAGGTAATTCTCAGATATTCATCATGTGTCCTTCACAAACTGGGGCCACATATTATTTACATTAATCACTCATCCAATTTTATTTGTATGGCAATGACATGCTAGTCAAAAGGAGAAAGGTTCCTGCCACTGCTTCTAAACAGAGCATGTTTAAGCTTGTGGCTCAGCTCCAGGAAGCTTTATAATCTTGGAAATATTTGTAACAGCTAAGCACAGAGGTTACATCATATAAAAGGCTGAATTAGATAGCTAAGATTATAGTGTAATGACTCAACATACAATTAAATCCACGTCCCTATTAGTCGAGCCAATTAGGTGATCATCCAAGCTTATTTGAGCCTGGGTGTTCCCTTACATTCGTCTTGGAAGATGTGCACATATTTTTCAGTGTATTTTTTAGGAAAAAAAAGGGCATCTTGTAAGCTAGCAAATACAGTAATTAAAATTTACTACAAATTCTGTGGCTCAAATTGGACTACAAATTGTTTTATACTCTAGTTAAGAATATTTTAATAGTATTGCTCTATCAAAAATTGTGCTATGAGAAAAAGATCTTCATAGTAGTATTTTCTTTTTTATTTTACTGGTTCTGAAT